TATATATATATATATGTATATATATGTATATATATGCTATTCTTCCTGGGTGTTTCTTGATGCTAAATAAAATTCAAATGACAATAATTGGTTTACTAATGTGCCATGTGTACATTAGTATACCAATGTACTAACAGAGGCCATATTCTATAAATTGGCTGTAAGGAAGTCAGTGTTTCTTTGTCGTTTATTGTACTGCTCAAAGTAAGTACAACTATTTTGGCTTTTCCAAATAACATTTTTACATTTTGTAGTTTGAAAGTTAAAGCTGCTTTTAAGTTAAATAGTCTTAATTAAATATTTTAAAAGAACATTGCAAAAGCTACAAAAATGAATATAATGTTTAAAGGTAGTTCTTGAAAGGTGAAAAGTCTTTTTACTCTTGATTTAGAATATTTAACCTTCCTGGGAGGGGGGTAAAGCAACAAACACAGGAGGGACTTGATTAATCTCTAGGCACTCTTCCAACTATGTTTGAGAGTTTGAGTCTAGATCAGGGAAGAGTTTAGAGTTTCCATGTTCAAGATTGCAAAACAATATATTTTTATCACTGTCAACATGTAAATTGCAGAACTGATTCTGTGGAACATGAGGATGATATAACTAATCAAGAAACCAATGACAAGCTGGTCTTAAAGGCCATTCAAGGTATGTATCATTATTATGTGCTCAGTTTTAATTTTCAATCATTTTCTTTGTAAGCAATAAAGCAGTATTTTCCAGATATTTCTTAGTTTTATGGTACTTGATTTATATTTCCTGCTTATCTTTTAATAAGTTAATATATATATTATACCATTGTATGTATACACATATATATATAGTATACATATACATAAATTTTATATATGTACATATTTTTAAATATTTTTAGGATTTCTCTTACTTTAATGATGCTATCTGATTGAATAACAAGTATTGTATGATTTATGAATTAAAGAATTTCAGAAAGTGCTTGATGTATGGGTTTTATCCATGAAATGAGTAAAATATAAGTGATATTTGTAATATAATAATTATCTTGTGCATTAGATGATATCCTCAAGAGATTTATGGTGGCCTGGTATAAAAAAAATGCTCAAACTGGCAACTGGATTCAAGTTTGGACTCTGCCATTCAGTAGATACATGACACAGTGTAAATTTCTTGCACCTCTTTTCTTCATTCCAAAATGGGGTGATTATTGTTTTATAGAGTTGTTGTGGATAATAAATGAAATATATGCAAACTTTAGACACTAAAACATTTTACTAATTTTGTTTCCAGAATTCAATTTTGTTGCCACTAGTCGGCTCAAATAGAGTTTTTTGTTGAATCTCATATTCAAGAAGGGAGGAAGGCATTAAACAATCACAGAAATTAACATATAATATCAAAATACAACATATTTTGATAAATTCTGATTTATCATTTAGAGATGATATGTGAATAAGAAGGTGAGAAACAGATTTAAAAGTTGTTGGGACTGGTATTTGAACTCTCAAATATTCTTGATGCCATTGTTAATAAATGGTTTTCTCCATTCTCTCATGTCTAATATATTTTTTTTCCTGTGACATTTGTTTTTTTCTTATAATGTGTTATATTGAATAACTGCTTTAGTAAACTTACCTATATTGCCTTAAGTGAAGGTGACACAACTGTCACCGGGAATCACTGTGGCAGGGGGAGAATGCCAGGGGCCTGAGGACATGACTTCTCATAGAGCCCTAGGAGAAAGGTTACTCTAAATATCCCAAGGATAGGATAGCACTCCAAAGCCTTGATGGTATTTAACATATAAGTTGCAATTTGAAGATTTCAAACTATTTTAGATATTTTGAACTGACAATTTTTGAGTGACTTCCTGGCATCAGTTTTGTAATTCACTTGGTAACAGCAAAGAAAGAGGAAAGAGATTAAAGATGTGGGGTTGATAGATGAAGAGGAAGTCTGAAAAATTAAAGCTAAGATTTTGTCACATTTTTTTTCATGTTGATGAAGATAACCATGATTTTTCTCTATTTAAAATATATAACACTTTCCACCACACAGGGGTGCTATAGGTCTGGTATATTTATATGTGATTTTATATCTACTAAAAGCACAGTTTTCTCAAGTCTTGTCAGTCATACATATAATCTGGTTGTATATTCATATACTTTATATTAGGTACAACAACTTTAATTTTCTTATAAGGCAATTGCAATTTTGATACATTTGTATGTAGAAACAATTATTTTTCATCTCTCTTCTCCTAAACAGATGTGCTAAAAGAACAGTTGTGTAATAGAGGTGTTCGTATTTTGACTGGATTTGGAAAATACCTTCAACAAATGGACAAAGAAGGAAATGGACTTTTAGATAAAGCAGATTTAAAGCAAGCTCTAAAAGTATTTCACTTAGAAGTGTCTGAAAACGTATGTGCCACAGACAATTCTCTGCAGTGAATGATATTCTTAAGTAGTATTCTTCACATTTCTACTGAAATTTTAGTAGTTCGTCTCCTTTTTGTCTCTTTATCAGTGTTAAGCTATCAGGCAACAAGTCCTGTTGATTTTTTGTTTCAGTGTTCATTATTTCTCCCATCTGTTTATTAAGAGTTTAATAGCCAGCATCATTCTAAGCTCCTAGAAGATACACTCTTTACTCTTAAGACCTTCATACTCAAGGGAAAGAAAGATATAAAAGATTACAACACAATAAGTTTTTAATGGAGAATGCTTTCAGAACACATGGGAATACAAGCCAGGTTATGAGAGAGAGAGAACATAGGATTTCTGGAGAAGGATATATCCCATCTGAGTTTAGTAGGATGAGGAGGAATTAAGCAGATAAGAGGGGAGAAGAAGCGTGAGTCAGACAATTAATACTTCACAAAAGGGAGAAGCAAATGTGTAGACATGAAGGGGAGAGGGAGGCCTGGTGCAGTTATTGCAAAATGTTCAACCCTTGCCCAGAGCTTTCACACATGCTGTTCCCTCCACCGGGAGTAATCTGCCACAAGACCTTTGCATGGCTGGATTTTCTCATCATTCAGGCTTTCTCTACTGAGAGCACTGCCCTGACACCTGCCTAAAGGAGCACCCCATCTGAACCCTAGTCCTCTGTCTACCACTAACCCATTTTATTTTCTTCATGTCACTTTGTATTTTCTGGCTCTGACTTCAAGGAGAATGTAAGTACCATCAGCAGGGACCAAGGTACTTCAGGTTCCCTGCTCTATTTCTAATGCCTTGAATAGAGACCTAAATACAGCAAGGGCTGAATAAATAGATGATGCCTTAGTTTAAATGGATAGATAAATGGAAGGAAGAAAAAAGAATGGGGAAAAATATGCCTAGCAGGGTCCATTATATTAAAGCTTTGTATGCCACGCTGAGAAGTTGGTATTTTCTTCTAAAGGTATATGAATTTGAAACACATCTACCTTAGAGATTTCAGGTAAAGGATTCTCCTACATTGATTTTCTTCCATCTTTTCAATTGGTCTTGTCATAGATATGGTTAATTTTGTAGAAGAAACACTATAAATTGAATTCATGAGATATAGGTTCAAGTTCTATTGAACTGTGTGATCTTAAATAGGTCTTTTAATGTTTTCGATTGACAGGCTCTGCCTGGGCAATCCAGACATAATACTGGTAGTCAGAATTGCTTTGAAGCTTAAATGAGAAAATTACACAGGAATTTGCCTTATTAACTGTACAATTCTGTGCCAGCACGATGTTGCTTGTCATTGTAGTGGTGTATCTGCCTTTTGTGTTTTGTACAAATTTAACCTTATGGCTCACATAGTGACACAGAGTAGGGGTCATCTAACCTTCATCTCCTTGTATAAAAATTTAAAAAGCAACAATAGAAAACTAGAAAGACTTGATGTCTTTATCCACAATCACACAGGTAATTAATAACTGAGATAGAACTAGAACCCAGGTAATGTGGGCCAGTCTGGTACTCATTGTGCATCACCACAAAAATTCTCTTTTTGATTTGCTACATTTTTATAATTAGATTCAGGAATAAAATCTAAAATAATTATATAAAACTTGTAACCTAAGTAGAACATATATTATGAAAATATGAGTAAGCTTCCCTTTTTCTCAGTTAAAAAATAATATTCCCAGCTTTACTGGGAGCTTTCATGGGAGACTGCCAACACAATGTTTGGCAAAAACAAGAACATAAAAGTCACCAGACTGGGTCTAACTGTGGAATGAGTTTTTCGGAAGGCATAGTCATTCTCCTTGATTTGAAATAAAAAAATATTGATATATACACAGGCTAATTTATATAAACATATGATCATGAATTTGGATCATTTTTTTATCTGAATTATTTCCATCCTCTACTGTATCTTAGAAAGAAAGAGTTGTATAAATTTGTTGCCACTTTTGGTCAATTATTCAATTCTTGAAAATTATTTAAGCTTCAAGCAATGTCTTTTAATTTTAGTCTTCCATGAGTTGGATGAGCAAATTCATCTTCTTTGATTGATATTATGATTTTATAATTCATATTATGATTACTTATCTTACAGACACTTGAAGTCTGTATCTTGTACAAGGCATTATGACAGACAAAAAAAAGTATATGAGTTGTTGAGAATCAGGGAGAGCCAGAGCATCTTAAGATTAAGTTTTTCTTATTAAACTTTTAATTGAAAAAATTAGGAGGAAGTAGAAAAAATTTTTTGAGCACCCATCATTTATCATTATTCACCTTGCTAGATATTTTTTCTACATTCTCAACTTGAAACTAACAACTTGCCTGAAACGTTGAAAATATATTTGCCTGAGTTTAAGGAAATCTCATGCTGTAATTTCTTTGTGATTAGGAATCTCTTGGTAAAACATTCTAATAAATAATGCATTTGCTAAAGAAGTAGTGGCAATGGTAGAATGAAAAAGCTGGCATAAGGAATTCACTCAGTATAACACTTTTCAGAGCAAATCATAAAATAATACTAAACTTGTTCAAATCTTACATACTTCCAAGCATGAAGACTGACAGAAATACAATTAGTGGTCCTAATTCTATTGGAGGCATTCCAAAACCTGAAGCAACTTTCTAATTGTCACACATATAATACATTAAAAATAGTTCAGTGTTCAATTTCAAGTAAATGGTAAACCATTTTCTTTTTGTATAGAGAGGAATTGAACTTGAAAAGATAAAAGTTCTTAACTTTACAGAACTGTCCATCACCGAGTTCTTTTAAACAGCTTTTTTGATGTCTTTGCTTGGACTTACATATAACTTTGAAATTGTCTTACTATGTACACTACCTTGTATAGGGCTATGAAAGATGTAATAAAATGCTATTATTATGATTAGTGTTGTGGCCATATATGACAAAGGTGTAACAATGATCTCTGTGTGATTATTTCTAGGATTTTGAGTCTGCATGGCTAGTTCTGAATAGCAACGACAGTGGCAAGGTTGATTATGGGGAATTCAAGCGTGCCATTATTGGTGAAATGAATGAATACAGGAAAGCATTTGTTCGAAAGGTAACTTTGTTAAATATCTTTCAAATAGGTTAATTTATTTAATAGGTTGGTTTATTACTTTAAATCTTTAGTAAATTGCCATTGAAAATGTTTTAAATCCCTTTACCTGTAATGTATTTTGGGTTCACTAAATCACGAAAACACATACACATAAAACTATCCAGGATAAAACAAGATAACTTATGCACACATTTTGGGAAAGTATTATAAAAGGAAAATAAAATCTGAAATCAAATTTTGGTTCACAAATTGCTAGTTCTATAAATTGTTGGCTCCATTAATTATCATCTATATAAATGTTATTAAATATCTCTGAGCCTCAGTTTCTTATCTCATAAAACTGGTGTAAGGATTGAATGAGATTATACATGTAAAATTAGCATTGTGGCTGTCCCAGTGTTAAAGCTCAAACATGTGCTATCTAAGAATGATCACTAAAAGATGTTTACTGGTTTTTATAATATGCATGCTAAATGTTCAAATCAAGATTAAAATGACCATGCTAAATTGGAATTAAAAACAGTAATCTCTTTTTTATAGAAAAGTGCATATTACTCAGGTTGTGGGAGCCTTTTAAATAATACAGTTTTAGAGCTTTTTAAGTAATATAGGTTTCTTTTCCTTTTGTAAATGTATATAATATAAAATGTATATTTATCTAATATTGAAACAAAGCTGTTTATAGAGTAATAGAAATAACTAGGTTAGATATACATCTCTAACAGAAAATATAAAAATTTTTATTGGCCAAAGACATGATAAAAACCTTATGTTAAACAAATTCATCATATAATATTTATAAATTTGCATTTATTTATACTTTACATGCCCTGGTGACAGTTTGAGTATCAGTAGTAGAACTGGAAGGTTATCTCCTTCTTAAGTATTTGTGCTGAGAATAGAGACCCATCTAGAATTATGAAGTACTGTAGTAGTTTGCTGGGGCTGCGTAGCAAATACCACAGACTGGTGACCTAGCGGACATTTATTGCCTCACAGTTCTGGAGTCGGAAGTCCAAGGTCAAGGTGCTGGGAGGTTTGGCTTCTCCTAAGGCTTCTCTCCTTGGCTTGTAATTAATTGACTGTCTTCCTTCTGGGGCTTCACATGCTTTCAGTCTGCGTGCCCATGTCCTAAACCCCTTACAAGGAAACTGGTCACTTTGGATTAGGATCCGCCCTAGTGATTCCATTTTAACTTAATTACTTCTTTGAAGGTTCTATCTCCAAACACAGTCACATAATGAAGTAGTAGGGGTTAGGGTTAAAACAAGTGAATTTGGGGGGTACAGTTCATTCAAAAGTGGGTGTCATATTTCTGTGAACACATTTTGAACAAACTTGATTCTAGTTTTGACACTTCTACAAATGTGGGCCCTTCCCGTGTATTGGCCGTGTGTTTCTATGTACTCACTCCCCTTCCCAATACAATATTTTATACTTTATGATACTCAAAATGGAATTGAATTAGAGGAGCAATAAAACAACTAGCATTTCAAAAAGAAGTGTTGCATTTCAGGAAATAGAGTAACAAAAGCCATTTAAAAAATATTTCACTTTCTCATTGATTTTAATGATGAAATATTTGCAAGTTCACTTTTTGAGTCACAGTAGTCCAGGCAATTTGTCTTGGCCGTGTATCAGTTTCCTGTGACTCCTTGAGCTGGAAGTCACCTGAGAGGTCTTTGACTTCACTCTTCAGTGTGCAGAGGAAGAAAGCCAGGTTAGGTTACTTCCTCAAGGTCAGGAAGGTAGAAGAACACTCCAGAGCAGGTTATCTAATAGTATGCTCCCAAATCTTTCTCCCTGTATTCCTTATGCTTCCTTCATGTAACAGTTTAGTACTTTTACACTGTAAAAGCTCAATAATAACCAACTACAAAGTAGAAAATTTGGTTCTCATGTCTAATGATTTCATAGAAAAAAATAAACATTTCTTTCTTTATTTAGGCCTTTATGAAACTGGATTTCAACAAAACTGGCAGTATACCTATTATAGACATAAGAAAATGTTATTGTGCAAAACAACATCCTCAAGTAATTTCAGGTAATTATTATAAGTCAAATGCATTAGATTTTTTTAAGTGTTAGTAAATAAAAGTAGTATCTTTAAGTTATAGTGTGGACTTGAGGCCAGTAAGGGAGGAAATTGACAATTATTTTTTAAACAGAAATGTGAGAGCTATTAGACCACCTTCATTTAAAAATTCTTAGGTCTACTGTCTATACTTAATTTTTTCTTTGATGTTTATAACTGAGCTTGAACTTTTATTTCCTATTGAGGAGATAGTAACAATTTGAGTTAGAAAGAACCAAATAAATTTAGAGAACAGGTAATTATATGTGCAACTTCTCTGAGTTAGTTTTACTGTATCTGCTTATACTTGAAGACTAAAGGCAGAATGAGGGAATATCTTTCTCTAGAGATGGAGGTATACACACAATGAACATACATATGTCTATCAAAATTTGAGGATATAAAAAAATATCTCAAAGTACAGATATATATATATATATGTATTTTGGCATGTTGCAAAGTGCTGGACATATACCGCATTATTTACTCTTCATCTCAACCTAGGAGGTATGCATTATTATGCTCTTCTTGCAGATGAAAATGCAGATGTACTCTTCCTTCCCTTCCCTGCCCCCTGTAGTCTGTCCCACCCAAAAGGCCATCAGTGTCAATCTGCTCTGGGTTCTGAGCAGGGTTTCCTCCTTCCATGACACTGTCCACCTCTGTTCTGACCATGGGCTCAAGGACATTGACTTTAGCAGCTTTCACTAGCTTTGGTCTACTTAAGGATAGTGAGAATCACATGTCTATCCATGATTTGCTTCAGTGCAGGATGACACAATGTATAAAGTAAATGCTTCCTTGATCAGAGTATTAAAGGGAATCTTAACTGTGTTACTCTTCTCTTGAAAGTTCGATGCTTCAGTATTTTTCAGCTTACGATGGCTTCATCAGGACATAAGGCCATTGTAAGTCCAGGAAGTCCTATAATTCTAGAGCCTCATTACCTACTAAATTAATTGTTTCTACTGACTTTAATCTTTACATAACTGAGTTATAAACAAATTATTATAGAGAAAGCATTTGGTCACAGTAACTCCTTTTTTCATTACATTTTCCTCTATAGAGGTAACAATTATCATTTAACATATATTTCAGTCTTAACTTATGAATTTTCATATCTGTATAGCTACTATAAAAATCTAATACTTTTCCAAGGTTTTATTTTTGGACATGAAAGGTACATTAAATATATTGCTATGTAGCTTGCTTTTTACACTCAACAATATGTTTTAGAGCACTTGCCATGTTAATCTACATTGATCCACCTTTTTCGTATATGCTGCGTATTATTCCTTTTTACAGTCAGTATACTACAATTTACCTAGCTAGTCTCCTGGTAGTAGACTTTTTAATTATTAATTATTAATGTGCAACCAATGAAGCAATGAATATGATTATTTGTGACTCCTTAGGCCCATTTTTTGCCTTTTCATTGGGGTAATAGCAAGATGAAGAATATCTACATTTCAAATTTTAATTGATACTTCCAAATTATTTCCCCTACCACTTTTCTAACACTTAGATTTTTGCCAATCTGATAAGCTAACAAATGTTTTGTGCACATTTCTCTGGCTACTAGAGAGGTTAAACATATTTTTGTATATCTTTTGACCAGTTGTAATTTATATTATATGATTGGTTTCTTTCTAATTTATAATTTTGGTTATGTACTGTTAAATACTGTAGAGTATATATTATTAAAATTCTAGAATTTTCCTTTTTTTAATATAAAAAGGAGATACAATATAATTACTTTGCTTTATCATCATTAACCCTTATAAATGGTTTATTTATTACTTATAACTGTGCAGTAAAAAAAATCAACAGGATTTGTTATGAAGGTTAAAGCTAATCATCACTGGCTTCTCAATTTCTAATGTCAGAGCTTAATTTACATACCAATGACTTTAAATGAACTACAATTGCCATACAAAATTTTTAGTTATTATTTAAATGTATTTAGCATATATTTCCCTTTAAACCCATGTCATTCTCTGCATTTTTCCTTTACTTAGTCTTACTAAATATAGGAACAAAATAGTTTACATATTTCAAAATTAGGTGACTCACCACTATATTTTTTTCTCTTTGACTTCTCCCCTCTAATAATCTTAATTAAGTTTCTTAAGTAGCACTAGTTTTATTATGTGTCATTGAATCATTGGTGAGGGTTTTATTTTTGCTGTTGTTAGATAAGCCTTTGCTAGTTTAAGAAATTCAATACTTTGTCTTTGCATTCACACTAAGGAAGTTAAGCAAGGAAGCTGAACAACCTTAAAAAGTAGAAAACCTCTTACTGCTTTTAAAAAAGGGAAAAAAATCCTTTATTGCTATCATTTCAAATTATAATCTATTCACATGCCCATCTCTGGGTTATAGATTGCTTAGAATTTACAACTAACTTCAAATTAAGAATCTTATATCACACATAATTAATTAAACTATGGAAAATACTTTCCTAAAAAAAATTCAGCTTTAATAGAAATATGGCTTCCCAAATGTATTTCTGTGTAATTGTATTAGAAATTTAATATTATTTATTAAAATACTTTTAGGTCTCTAAAAGGATGAAAGAAGGGTTAGTTACATATGATACAAGGTAGGAATTTCCTGGGTGCAGATACAAGAAAGCTAAAAAATTCTTCAGTATTGAGAACATAAATTTAAACAAAAAAATATTTTTCTTATAAAAAAATAGCATTAAAACTCATCTGTTCAAAAATATGGATGGTAAATGGGAAAATTTCTTCTGCAAACACATATATATTTTTACATCGATTCCATCTTGATTAATTTTATCCTTGACTAACAATCACAAATTCACTGTTTTATATTATCCTCTCTGCATAGCACAGTTATTCAGTCCTTGTTTATTCAAACTGGCATTTCTTTTATAAAATAAAGCTTGTTCTGTTTTTCTCATGTATAATTTTAAAAGATAGCAATTATTTGCTATTCAAAGCAGATTTTATTCTTTTATTTGGAAGATACTTTACAATGAATAATTCTTCAAGTCCATTAGAGGACCTCTGGTTTTTGAGAAAGATCCAACTCTTCTCCTAATTCTTCCCACCTTGTTAGACAATTAAAGTGTTCTTCCGATTTAAATCTGTCATTTTAAAATTCAACCTGACTTTAAAATGACTTAAAGAGTCACATAGATTTTTCCGACACTTATTCTGCATTTATATATGGGCCTCTGTTTATTTTCATTGTGTACTGTCCGACCATCTTCTATAACTTTTTTTCATATTTTAATTCTTTGTTTCTTAGTAAAAAGTTATCAAATGTCTTTTTCCCTGTTCTCTGCCAGGATCCTGGGAGTAGATCGAGCAAGGAGGGTAGGGGTAGAGGGTTTGGCAAGGTAATGAGGTAAATTCTGTGGTGGTATGCCTATAGTAGGGGTGGTCAGTGAAGGCTTCCTAGAGAAATGTATTTAAGCTGAGAGTCCTCCTTCCCTTTAATTGTCTATAATATGATCAAAGCTACTTACTTAAATAGCTTATTGTTCTCTTTCTAAATTAAAAATCATATGAATTTTTTAAAAAGGATGAATCAGATTTTTATGTTCTCTTTTAACAAACTAAAGAATTACATTTTTTAAACATATGCAGTTCTCAATAGCATCTTCCTTTAGTATAAAATTAATCATATTCAATATGACCCAGTGGAAATAGCCTACTTAAAATAAGAAATTAAAAGAGAATGATTTAATCAAGTGAAAGTTCTTCTAGCAAAAATTTTCAAAGGCCTCTGAATCCTGTGTTTGCAGTAATATTTTCTAGCTGCAGTGATGAGTAACTGATACATAAAATAATGAAAGCCTGAATTTACGGATGCTTTTCATACACTGCATTATGTTAGCCTATAAATCTTTGAAATTTTTACTTGTTTTCTTTTTTCCGTTTTTCAAATGTTTATGAAGTTCAGTACTCTAGAATATTAGGAAATACAAGAATATCTATAGTAGTAACTATTATTTTGCCTACACATATAGGATATACCCTATGAGAAGCTTTAAAGATGTCTCAAATATGTATAAAGTCATCACTATTAAATTCCAGTTCATGCAAGAAAATGTTTAAATAAATTAGAAGGTAGTTTGACATAAGATTTCAAATTGTTGAAAAGATTTTATGAGGCAAGATTTTTATTAATATTTTATTAAGTATTCCTTTGTCATCATCAGTCATTTTCTAGACTTTTAAGAATATTGTTTCATAGTCAGTACTATTTTACAGGCCATTCCACAGAGGAGGAAATCAAATCATCTTTTTTAGAAACATTAAAAGATGCTTGCAGCAAGTCTGATGAAGTGTCATATGGTGAATTTGAAGACTACTATGAAGGTCTAAGTATAGGGATAGTAGATGATGAAGATTTTGTTAGTATCTTACGTACTCCATGGGGGATTTAGTTTTTTTAACATAACTAGGGCATCAACACAAAGCATTTTAAAGAAGATATGAATGTAAGTATGATCAAACACTGGAATATATTTCTCTTGCGCTCCTTTTCTGTTTCTCACTTCTCCTTGAAAATGCAGAGAGAACTTTATGGGTTTGTTTCCAAGTTCATAATTTTAAAATATGTGTGTTAAGATGACATAAATTAGAAAAGAAACAGTGTAAAAGACTGGGTTTTTTTTGTCCTCAAAAAGTTTAGTCTGGAAAGAGAAATGTTCAGAAAGATAGATGTAGAAGGATGTGTATGTTCGCATGAATGTCCATATGTTTGTAAAGAACTTTTTGATTTATTATTTATCTTGAATATATGTTAAAGGTTATATATTATAACATATATTATAAGTTAATATATGTTAAAGGTTATATATTAACCTTTATAGGAAAGATGCTCTTTATCAGTCTATATGAGAGACTTATGTGGTAACCAAGTTTCTTGTTCATTGCTTTTCTGCTACCCATTCTCTGAAATATAATTGGCATCATTCTCAATTTAATAAATTTGGCCCAAAGCCTATGAGATTGAAATAGCTTAACTTGTTTTCAAACATATGAAAATGGTAAAGTAAGTAAAAGATATACAGAAAAAATTTTCCATTCAGTGTGATTATAGACGTTTTCTTTTGTAACAGAAATATTTAGAATGATGGAGTCTTATCCCTAAAATGCTAAATTATATGCTGTGTTTGTTTAATAAAGTACAATGTAATTATTCTAATGATGAATTCTGTTCATTCAATTATTCTATTTTTGTAACTGCAATTATTATTACCTGCACAGAAACAACACAAAATTCAGGGTGGGGGTGGGATGGGAGGAGGAATGTTTTCTTAGATTTTTAACTAAAGATCTCAAAAAGTGCATTATCACATATATGGAATAAGAGATAGTTAGTAATTCTTAACCAAAATGCAAACAGATATTTTCTGTCCTAAAATCAATATATGTTATTCTAAACATCTTTTTGGTATATTAAAAAATAGAAGCATTTTCTTCAAAATAGGTAATTATTTATGTAATATGTTGTAAACATTGTTTTTTGAAATTTTTTTCTCTGTTTCTCACTTCTCCTTGGAAATGCAGAGAGAACTTAATGGGTTTGTTTCCAAGTTCATAATTTTAAAATGTGTGTTAAGATGACATAAATTAGAAAAGAAATAGTGTTGAGCAAAATATAAAGTGGTTCAAAATGAAACTGTGTACTTTGTAGAATATGACTTTTGGTATATAACTTTATTTACCTGTACCCTTGACAATATTACCAGAAATGTGTGTGAATCCAATAAATTCAAAGCACTACTTTTTCAAGATTTGAGAGGGTACTAAAACTCACTGTGAAAATGTCAGAAAGAAAGTATGTATAAACAGTTTGGTGCAATTTCCATTAGCTAAACTCTTTATTTCTCAGACTTTGTTTCAATTAGGCTATTTTAATTAAAACAATATGCTGAAAGACATTTGGTAGAAATAAGTCTGTAACACTATTTCTGAGTCATATCTTTTTCTTGGAAAAATGTATCCAACTACAGTCATCTTAACCCTACAAATTGCCCTCATGTTAAAATGACTAATACTGTGAGCATCCAGTATGCATGCAGTATTTTTCATTCAGGAATTTTTATTTAATTTTCCTCAGCAAATCTGTTCTTAATATTGTTATGTCATATTTTCCTGTGAATATAATCAGAAAATGTATAGGCTGTCATATTGTAAAATAAAGAGGAAATTCTTCTGGGATTTTACATATTAACATGATAGCATACTCTTAACTAAACCTCCAGCCTCTTAATATAAATATTCATAAGAGGTTACTTGTAGATTTCTCTATTTAGGAGATACAACTTTTTTGTACTTACTTTCTTATCATTTTACACTGTTATTTCCATGTCAAGTTAGAAAAACAATATTTAGTATGTTTTTTTGGAGCATTTTGTTAAATGATAGTTGGTGATGCAATAAATCATTCTGTTTTTGCCTCACTGTCTACATTCTTTTTTGACTTTGGTTTAGTTTTCAGTTTCATAGAAATTTTATTTTCAAACATCCACAACATAATTGACCTTTGAAATACTATTCTTAATAGTCTCTAAGGTTCTAAAATATCTCTTGATAGACTTTAAAATATTAAATTATATGTTGTAATGATGTTACATGAATTTTATAGTTAAGTGGATTTCATCATTCTCTAGATTTTTAAGTTAGTTACTTGTTTGTGGTATGGAATTGCTTTTCCAGTTAACCATATTATTTACTGAATTCTATGTATTTATTTTAATGTTTCTCTTCTTATGAATAAGGTTTTACAGAATTTTCAGGAAAATTTCCCATTTTATTATAAAATGGGATCTTAGCTAGGGATTTTTAGCTATATTTTAATTAGTAAAGAATATATATTTTTATGATAGAGCAACTAGAATGTAGTACAGGTAAAAGTGTATTTTCCTGTTTTAAATTTTATAGTATATGAATATATGTGCTTAATGAACCAATAACTTTTCATAGAATAATTCACTTAGAATAATTCACAATTTTGATAAAGCTAAAACACACTTTATTAATTGCTTTGGCCTACCAGTCAGTCTAAATTGTTGTTACTTCTGGAGTGAATTATGCATAATAGGCTATATTGACTGTAGATTATTTAACATGGATTTGTGAGATTATAGTTGATAGTGCATGTATAAATTAAATATGTTCTGTGATGATTTATAATCATGAAGAGATTGACCATCAAGGACAAACATCCATAATGAAAGTGCTTAATAAGTAGAAGAAACTGAGCCTTCATAACACAAGCCAAGCAAGACAAAAACAAAGAGAATCCAGTGAGCTGAACAGGGACGTATTAGTATCTGACAATGAGAAGAACCTCCTGTCAGAGCCTTCCATTTTTATTTTATGGTTATACAAACTTCTAAGGAAAACTTATTTATTGGATGTCTTCATCTAATTAAGAATAAATGCCCCACAGTGCTCATGGGATATGAACAATACCACTGTTGAACTGAACATTACTTCACTCATTCATTCGGTCATATGTACTTAGCGTGTAGCACTATCCAGACAATTACATAAGGCTCTGAGATATTCTAATTTTTCTCACACTCTGTATATCCTTTCATTCTCAAGTCCTTCAGCTTCTTACTTTGGAATCTGTCCCTTTAACTAAATGCTTTTGCCCTTGCTTAAGCTCTTAGCGCACCTCATGCATATTACCCTCATCAACTATGCCTCCTACCCAGTCCTACTTCAGCCCACACATTGCTGTTGGAATGATCTTCCTAAAGTATCCATTACTTCCATAATTAATCTTCCATGGTATCTCAGACCTTTTAGAAAAGTTCAATTTCCTTACCTTAACAAATAAAACCTAAATGATCTGATCGCCCAAAGCTTATCTCCCTCTATGCAGCTCACTGTATCATGAGGTTTCAAACTTGTAACCTTCAAAACTGCTATTTTCATCTAAAGTTTCTTGCATTTACTGCATCTAAATTAACCCATTCTGGTTTTCTGTTCTACCTCGGGAACCATCTCTTCTAGAAGGTTAAATCAGATAAGCTTTTAAGTCTGATTAGTAACCCTTCCTTGGGATCCCATTGGTACCTTCGGTGTGCCCTTCATCCAGCATTTATCATTTCATATTAGAGTGATACTTTGCTTATGTTTTTCCCACTAGATTGTAAGCTCCTTCAGGATGAGAACCATACCTTACTTAGCTTTATGACCCTGTTGTCTAGTACAGTGTCTGACGTGTAGTAGATGTTGAAATCTGTTACTAGATAAATGTGATTTATTGAGCAGCACATCTGTTATGGTTCTTATATTGGAACACTTTTGTGTTAAAACACTTTAGCGTAGACCACGTAAATAATACGAATGTGCAATTTAGTGTAAGCTTCAGTTATAGAGGCAGTAAGTTTCCCTAATAAAGAATGCATGGTCTAGAGGTGGCTCAGATAGAACTTGACCAACAGAGCCTCACTGACCAGGGGCTACTCTATTTACTTCAGTAACCTGAAGCTCAGTCAGTATCTGATGCCTAAATAATTAGCCCTCCTAAGCACAATACGTTTTATGCATGAAAACAGTGTCTTGTTAGAGCCCTAAATGCTTTGGGGTTCGTCTATGAATGAGAACGACTTCTGGTTACCCAGATCCCACCCCTGGAACGTTGCTGGTGTTCCCTCCGGTGGGAATTGTATGCACAGTGGTGGCTGAAGCTCCCAAAGGCACAAACCGCTGGGATTTCACTGAGTATACAGAATAGCTCGTGTAAAAATCACTTTATGCCTCCTTGCTAAGATGTTTGTTTAATGAATGTCTGTATGTGTGGCAGAATTTGATCTGAAATTTATTTCTTTATAACTGGGTATTGAGGTTAGGGGGAGTAGCCAATTCTCACCTACCTCAAAGCTTTTCTGGTCACAATTAAATGCCATAATAATAACCTATTACTTATGCACACCTAAATCAGCTGCTCTCACTTTAGTTGTCTGATCACAGCTACCATTCTCCTCAGACACTGCAGTAGGCTCCAAAGGCCCACATGTGGCATGGTACATTGCCTGAACTAGTAGAGTTAAAAATTCACACACCCCTAGTCCATGGTTGTTGTAAATAACATGGGCATAAACTACGTCAGTGGAGCATGGAAGGACTGTTTCTATCATCCCAGGGGTATAATAATGATTTATCAACTCTGAAAACGTAATGATTTATTAAGTATTGTGATGACAAAGTTTTCTATATAAAAGCTGAAACAACAGAGTTTGGAGATTTGATTGTATTGATTATAGAAATGTATTAGTGGATACACACGTTTTTAGATTTCTTTCTTTAATAACCTCTGAAAGCTGATTTTATAGTTTTTGTATATCCAAGAAAAATAAAGTTATTGGGAAGGTTTGAATCAAAAATTACCTATCTGGTACAGAAATCATTACGTTTTCTGGTGACAAATTTTATGTAAGGAGAAAGAAATCAGTGTCCCTGTTGTGTTTAAGTATTCTTTTTATCCTGTGAGAATGAGATTTCTGGGCCATGGCTCAATGAGTTTAGATATAAATGAAGATTCTCACCTTTGCAACTGTATGTTGAATTTCCTGGGATTTTCAGATGATGAAAAAGCCAATATGAAGCAAATGACTGCAATTCAAGGAAATCATTGTGTGTCACTTATCTAAGTTGCACATTAATCTAGTAGTTGAAGAGATTATTATAGAAGAACTTAAGAAAATATCTGTTGTCAAAGAAAACTAATTTTGAGGAAGTATTCAGACAACCACTACATCAAGGAAGAGCATGTACTTAATAGCAATATGTATTATAAATGATGTTATGGAAAGAGCACAAGCTTTGAAGTCACTGAATACTGATTTCAAACTTGAGTTCTGCTATAAATTAGTTGTATGACTTTGGGAAGCTGCTTAATGTCACTCAGTCTCTACTTCATCTGAAAGTTGATATATAAGGATTGAATATAGATATGGATATGCTTAGAGATGTAGATGTATATCTAGATATAATACTTAACACAATCTAGCAGGCAAATGTAAGTCGGTATATATTTATTTTCTTGTTTGAAATAAAGAAATCAATGGAAAGTATTCCTTATTTTTTTCCTGATTAATCTTAAATGGCAATCATAAGAACCATTCTTTTTTTTTATTGAAAATAGTGAAACTTTATTGTCAATGTTGAATTTTACTTATAAAAATCATTCTTTTAAAGAGACATATTTTAATTGGTAAGTATAATTTGTATGTCACCGAAATATTTCCTCCTGTGTCAAATAACTGTCTCATTATTATCAGTTCTCTTCATCAGATCCTGTGAAGGAAAATAAAAATACTGTATTAAGGTTATCAACCCTTTTCCTTCAAAGCATATAGCAAAGTGAATGTTAAAAGAGTGAGTATTAACCAACTTTATTATTGAAATTAATCAGAAGATGATACATGTGGAAGATGAATTTTATATCCATAAAGACATTAGGCAACATTCCTAATATCTTTGGTGCACTAAGACAACTGATTGCTATGAATCCTCTAAGAGATTGTGTTTTCCAAAGATGGCTGCAACAGTATTTCTCATGCCAGGTAATGTTCTTACATACTAAGCCTGACTTCACATCAAGAGGTGGGGTCTCTGTCCCCTCTGCTTGGATATGGGTGAGTTACTTGTTTGTAACAATAGATTACTGTGGCAGTAGTGCTGTTACTACTCAAACTAGGCAAGAAAAGGCCACATAGTTTATGCCTTGTTTGTTGGGATATTTGAGGCACCAAGTAAAACGTCCAACTTTGTGGGGCTGTCAAACTGGAGAGGCTACGTGCAGTGTGCTGCTCCATCGCCAGAGCTGAGCTGTTAGCTACTGCTAGTATCAGTTGTCTACCTTGTGAGTGAGTCATCCTGGGTGGATTTCAGCCCCTGTCAACATTTCACTATATTCATAGGACAGGTGCCTTGGGTTTCTTAAATATCTAATTACCTTAATTAGAATTTGAACAAAACAAGGATATTAAAAGCATTTTGTTAAATATTATAGGGAATTAACCTGGCCTACAGTTTATAAGAATTTTTGAGACATTAGAGGAGAAAATAGGCACACTAAGTTTATATCATCTCATTTGTATGGAAGAAAGTGAAGTGCTGGAATGTGATATACAGAATCTTAAAGGTTGTTCTTCACTAAAGATAAACCAAATTAAGCCATAATATAAAGTCAGAGCTTTGCAGAACATGTATTTCACCACTACTGCAAGTACCCATTATATTGTATTAGTTTTGGCAATTAGTGAACTTACTTATTACTCTTAGATTAAGTATCATGTGTTTTCTTGTTGAAAGTATTTGCCCATTCTCTTTAACAGTTTCACCAATGACACTAATAAGTATGGTAAGATAATTTGTAGAGATAATTTATGTTTGGTTATTATTATTATATAACACAGAAAAGAAAAAAAGAGAG